TTTAAACTTGATTATGTTTCGCATTAGTCTTGTTTAGTTTCTTTTTAGTATTTTAGTCTTGTTAATCTTCGTTTAGCATTTGCATTTTTCTTATATCACTTAGTTGCATAATTTAGATTTCAAAAATCACAAAAACCATCATTGTCTTAGCTTAGTAAATTACTTGCATTCTTAGTGTGCTATTCTAATCTCCCTTGGTTCGACCCTATACTATGCTACAACAACTAGAGTGTGTTGCTAGTTAGGTTTAGGTATAAATATAATTTGACACACATCATGGATGCAGAAGCTACTGCTCTCATTTGGACGATGTCGTGTCTTGACAATTTTGGGGTCGAGGATGTTATCATTGAGAGTGATTCGAGGATTCTTGTTCAAGCATTGAAAGGAGCCTCAAACTTGGCCTAGATCGAAGAATTATACTATGGAGGTTCTTGGAAGAAGAAGAATTTTAAAACCAATTTTAAGGTTCCAAAGTAGACAAACTATGTATTGACCTTACCATAATGTATTGGATTATAATACCCCAAGTTGGTTGATGATCCTTGTATGTTCTCAAATCTCAAGTATGTTTTGAGTTCTAAGCAAAAAAAAATAGTACTATTTAGCATTCGCTTTTGTTATTCTCGATGAAACAAAAACATGAAACTGTTATAAGATTATTGATTCTTTGGAAAAATATTAGTAATTAACAAAAGAGAATTCTACAGCTTGAAAAAATAAACTTTATCCATTTTGAAAAATTTAAAATAACAACACGCCAAAAAATAATTATCCGTGTAAATCTATTCAACCATAAATACATTATGGACCCTCTATTGTGTGATTATATAGTTCTCTTCAGGCCATAAGAAGAGAAACAATAGTCTTCAGAAGAAAATCTGAGTCTGATAAACTTTCTGAGATATACAATATTCCAAAAAAAGAATCTTCAAAGTGTATAAGAAAATCAAGAATCTTCTGATATGGATTAGTCTCAACTCTCAAAAAGTCTTGCTTTAAGCTGTGACACAATCTTGTAAATAAGGATGGCTCGAATTCAAAAACTTTAACCAGAAAGGTTTATACCTACCAATAGCCAGCTTTAACCAAGGCTTCATGTTGCCATTATAGTGAATAACAGCTGCTGTTTCGATCAAACGATTATCAATGTTCACATCGTAACCTAAACCTAAGACATGCCATCTTCGGTCTAGTGGCTCCGTCAGACCATAGAAAGCCAATAGACCTGGAGGGAGAGTCCCGAGTTTCCAAAGCGTTCGTTCTCTGTTCTGCTCTTGCCAGTAATGGTACCGAGCAGTCACATTAGCCTTCCTCCAGGCGATCAGGTCGAAAACGTTCATACCAAAAGCCCATCCACATGCTTGTGGGTCGAACTTTGAGCTGATGAGTGGGTTCGAGAAGTTTAGGTACTTGTAATAACGGTGAAAGGCTTCAAGACATGTTTCCACAGCTCCATTGACGTTCCCGTGCAGATCCAAGGAGAAGAGTGGAGTCAAATCTTTCTGAACAACAACATCGTCATCTAGAAAAACAATCTTTTCTAGCTGCGGATAGATCTCAGGGATGTAGAATCTTAGATGATTCAGCAATGACAAGTACTTTGGGTTCCTCACTTTTGGCTCGGAATTGGAATTTGTATCTTGACTTGTATGTTCCCCGAAATAGAAAGCTCTTGCATCTGTATCCAGAAGTTGCTTGACAACAGGAGCATATGAAGCATTCAACCAAGAAAACTCCTCGATGCTCCTAATCTCTAGAGCTGAGCCCTTGAAGTCATTAGTTAGAAACCAAGCCTGCATAGCTTTGTAGCTCACTCGGTTTGTCACTATGTGGAAAACAAGCTGTTTTGGGTGATCAGCATTGGAGACAGTTGAATTAACAACCACCGAGGCAGCTATCACATTATCCGTGAATATACAGAAATGGTAGAGGTTGTTGTCAACTAGTCTGGGTGAGTTTCTGTTCTCATCTGCCAGTTCATGGCGTGATGGCTCGGTTAACCAATCAGATGTGAGCTTGATCATCAAACAGTGGAGATTTTTTGGTAGTGCCTCGGCAGCCGACTGCCCAAATATTGTGGTTTGAACGGTAGCTGCGTTTGCACGCTCTTCAAGGGCTTGTATGTGAGATTTCATAGTCATCATTGTGGTGGCTATGTCGTAATGTGCATCTTGAGCCTTGTAGATAAGAGCTGATAGACCACTAATAATCGATTTTGCCTCATCTAATAAAATAGGTTGTCCTCTCATTGCTGCTTTTGAGAGCAAAAGCTGACAACTTCTGATCTTAGAACTCAATTCCCAAGCTAAATGAAGATTATTGTGCTCTTTGGCTATAAAAACATAAGCCTTGGCAAGCGTCATTTGCTCTGCTAACTGCCTAGAGAACGAGGAAGCACTTGTTACCTCATCCGTGAAGTTTAAACGGGGAGGAGATATCTCCTCGGTTCTTGTGTCTCTCTCCTAACAAAGACAGAGATCAGAGTAAGTTCTCCAAAAGACAAAAAAATAAAAATCAGATAAAATGTCCATATTCCCGAGCCTAAAAGTTTTGAAAGAAAAGGTTATGTTCTCAAGTCCTGGCCAAGATATCACAACAATTGGATTTTCTCCCATTTAGTACTTCCCAATCACGGAAAATGTATCGCGTTCATATTCACTTCAAATGATTATATGTCCAAAACACTTGGAGAAAATCCATAATGAACACTCATCCAATTCCAATTTATCTTTTAGTAAACGAAATCAACATGACCATCATCAATTTCTGGTATAAGAGAGCTTGACTTAACACAATTCCTTCCCCATATGGAACCCTAAGCTATGGCATAAAAGCACCTCATCTCTCAAATTATCAGCAATCAACTACCGACTCTTTCTTGTATTTAGATTGAACATAAACGGTAAACCTAAACGCTACCAAGAAACTTCAGTCACACAAGAGATTATTTTACGCATCGGGAAACAAGAAATGCTCTGTTTTTAGGAGCTTTTGCACTCGCACTAAGCAACTCAAGAAACATCAGAGTAAATCTTCTAAGCAATTTCACTTCAAAAGAAACAACAATAACCAACCATGAAAAATCTTTCCACTGATTTCAAAAGCAGAGGTTCACATTCAACATTTGGTTATTATGGAACTTCATAATCATATCAATTGAAAGGACTTCAACTCTGCAACTTCACTGATTCCATAGTTAGAGCCAGATTGAATTAGAGATTTCTCAACTTAGGTTACAATTCCAGTAAAAATTCACAATCTTTTTGTCAACACAACAAGATCCACACACGGAATGATCCACCAGAGCAAAAAAAACCCAAATCTCAAGCAATCAATAATCCATTATCATCGAAATCGGAATTAAAGAGAGAAAGACATACAAGTATTAGC